CCTGTGGGGAGCAGCCCCAGGGTGGCTGGAGCCCCTGGGTAGCAAAGGGACATGAAATACCCGGCTGTGTGTATGCAGCTTCAAATTGCAACTGGGGGAGCTTTCTGCAGAGGTTTAAATTGCAAAGAGGAGGCAAGAGGCATGCACACCGGGGGCGGGGGGCGAGGGGGTGGGTGTTTAAATGCATAGAAAAGTTTGTAAAATAAGTTGGAGTTGCTCTCATGTTGAAACAAATAGCGATGCTTTTCCTGGGATCTTGTGATCACCAAAAATCTCATGGAAGTCAGGTAGAATTGTGTCATCCGTATGGTGCTGACGCGGTAGGTACGGTCGGCTGTCCGCCTTGGGGGGTTCAGGTCTCCTTCTCCCTGCCCTGGTGAGCTGTCCCCAACATGGAACGTAAATGGACGCAGCCGCGTTTGTCCTCCGGTTGCCGCCGATGTGCTGGGGCAAAATCAGTTGTTGACCCAAGGTGGCATGAAATGGGAAGCGGGCAGTTGGCTCGTGGCGTGTTTCTGAGGGGGCTGACATGCGTTTCAGCGTAGGGAGCAGGGAAGCTGTGCGAGCGGTGGGCACCCCATTTATGACAGCGGGCACAATCAGAACTTCTCTGTTTGCCGTGGTTTAAAAAAAAAAAAAATTCTTGTTACCAGGTGAGAAAGTTACTCCACAGAACGCTAAATATTACACGTATAAGATGGGTGGTTAGCCAGCATGGGAGGATAAGTAGGCCAAATTGTTCTGTGTTGTAAATCACAGGAGTCAGTGGAGTTAAATTTAGCCCATCGTTTGCTAAAGATCTTGAAATTCAGGCAATTTAAAGGTAAAAAAAAGTGTAGATGGGAGAACAATAGTTGGGGTTTTGGGTTGGTGTTTTTTTTTTTCTCCCACTTTTATGAAGGTACTAGCCCCAAAACATAGCTTTAGCCTGAGCCTCAGAGCAGTTTTATTTTAAAGGCTTTATTTTTTTAATTTATTTTAACATTTGCATGGGGGAAGTTTTTCAGAACACATACTACAATAAACCTTGAATTCCAGCTGTTCTAGTGTTCTGGATGACTTTTTGTTTCTTTTGGATGAAGAAGATTTGTTTTACAGTAACTGTCCGTATTTTTCTCTCTTTTATTGGTACATATTTTGCACATACTTACACACCAAATTTTATGTGGTTTTTTGTTCTTTACACAATCATGTATTTTATTTTCTTTTTAATCATGTAGACATGAGGGTTCTATGGGATTTAATTATTCATGTATTGCATGTGTCCATTTAGATATATCCAGCATCTTATAGTCAAGTAATACGAAATTATATATGAAATTATTTTACTATAATTTCTTGATCTCACTTTCATTTATCTAATGGAGGAAAAACAACTGTTTGGCAAAATTTCTCTTATATACAAATGAGCCTTCTTCTGAAAAAAATGTGCTTAAGATACAATGAGTGATGGGAAGATACACAAGCCAAAGCAGGACAGAGGAAAAAAAAGAAAATTAAAAATGATCTTTAAAATCTCAGATATTGATGAAGACCTGCTGGATAACATTCAGATTGCTTATTCATCCTGGTAACTACTTTTTCCTTTTTGTTTATCCATTTCACTTAATGATTTTCTGTGTATTGTTACAGACATCTCAACAGTGAGCATGCGCTGGATGATAGAAGTACAGCCCAATGTAGAGTACAAATGCAGGTTGTACAGCAGTTAGAGCTACAGGTAAAATAAAATTTATTTTAATATTACCTCAGTATTAATCAAATCCAATTCTCGACAGCAATAAAAAATGAGTTCTGCTTTTCCCCCTATGATTGAAAACCAGCTTTCAAAACCTTCTTGTAGTAGTTTTAAAAACCGTCAAAAGAAACTGCAGCTTCATTTCCTCTTTTCTAAACCGTAACTTGAAAAGAAATAGGAAACTTAAACAGGCTGACTGATTGGAAATCCATCAGTATGTATCTAATGCTTTTTATACTCACCCAGGGGGGCGGAGGGGGGCGAGCGGAATACGGTCCCCTTCATTTAGAGTTGTTGGTACACGGGGAAATGGTTGATGTTTATTCCAAAACGCTGCATGACCTGGCTTGTTTGGTGGTGTCTCCTATACTAATACTCTCCATGTATTATTATTATTATTACTACTACTACTATTATTTTTTGCCATTTGTAGCAAATAATTTTTTTTAAAAGTGCCAAAAGGGGGTAAATTGGAATATATTGAATGCGATGCAAAGGTATGACCTGTTTGTGTAACTGCCTTTCCAAATGCTTTTGAGTCCTTTCTGTCTCCCTGCACCTCGCTGCTCTGGCTGGGCGGCTTTGACAGTGTGTCTGTGTGTAGGCAAGAGGTTAGCAAAGAAGGGGAAATTAAAACAATGTTGTACATTATATAGTTACCAGCTATTGAAAAACCTATTTTGTATGCAAGACAGCAGTGTAGAGATATATGGAAAGCCTTGGGCTAAGTACAGAAGATAATTACATTTGGAATTTTACTGAGTTAAGTCATTTATAGCTTCAAATAGTTGGAGAGAAAAATCAGCAAAAACACACTTAAACTTCTTGTTGTTACTTTTCAAGATAAGCATTTAGAAAAATGCCTTTTATCTTCTTATCTTACAAATTACCCTTTTTCTTTCATAGATATTTCCTAAATTTTACTTTCAGGAACACGCTGGTCATGACCCTCTTTCACTATTAGCTGAAGCAATATAAACTATTTTAATACAAGTTTTATAAAAATCAAACTACCAGTCATAAAATATCAGAGTCTTGCAGAAAATGTTATGAGAAATGGCCTGTTATTTTAACAAGTTTCTTGGGAATTAGGATTAAAAAAAAAAAAAAATCTGCAGTCTTCCTGGTAAACTGAGATATGAGATAATCTTTTACCAAGATGCAGTAATATTCAGGCTGAAGGTAAATCTAGATTCTTCAGTTACAGTCAGGTTGAAAAGCATTAATTCTTCCCTCCTGCAGTTGCTGGGAACAGCTGTGCCTGCAGCTACAGGAGGATGCCCTGTGTTAACAGTTGGACAGGACAGAGATGGTGCTTGGTTGCCACCTCTCCATAAGCCCTTGACAATATTTTTGAAAGATTTACCAGCAGTCTATTCTACGAATTGTTACAAGTGACTAACAGTTACAGCTTCACACCCGTTTAGTGCTGGGGAATACCTCTTAGCTTAGAGTCATTGCATGGGAAGGCAGCGTAAGGTCCCCAAGAGAAGAACGTAATTTCAAAGTGGTGTGAGGACCAAAAGTTCTGGATTTGTTTTTAATGATTGTACTAGCACAGTAGATAGAATGAACTGGAGGCTTAATTTAGGCAGGGGTGTTGATAACAGAGTGAGACCATCTTTGCATTGGCCAGCAAGGACAGGTGGAGGAGAAGGGTGGTCCTGCTTCTGAAACGTACCTGTAACTCCCCTCTTCTCCCTCCCCTTTAATCCCATGTATCAGTCCTCTGAGACTTTAAAAAAAAAAAAAATCTGCCTAAATTTGTACAAGGATTTGTCCTCCAGTACCTAGTTTGTCTGGCTGTGACCTGTTTCTGCACAGAACCATACTAAAACAAAAGTCTGGCCCAACAGCAGGGTTTTCAGTGACGTGGTCTGCAGCGCCCAACGCGTTGTAGCAGGAGGAGCTGGACTAAGACCATTGACCTGATACTCCCGCAGTGGAGCAGTTACCAACAGTGGCAACAACAAGCCCTGTGGCCAGCTGTTTGAGTTTCATGAGCTAGGTAGAAGAGGGACCCGAAGTGGGCCTTTCCCACTTGACCTGCGGTGCTCAGCGCTGGCGAGCAGCTTTGCCTTCCAGCGGAGCTATGAAGTATCACGTGCCGTTCAGGGTCCGACACCGTGGCAAGATCGAAATGCCGCACCATTTCATCCACGTACAGCCCCATCGAGACAGGGGTAGAATTTAACAAATTCATTCCACCTGAGGGACGCACTTCAGGTTTTGAGTGTGATGGACCCAAACGCAAGCCTTTCTTTTTTCTTTATGTTCTTAATTTATTTACACACAATAGTTTTATCAGTCGTAGACAGAGATAAGCGTAATGTCTTTTAAAGAAAGTAATTTTTAAATGAACGTTTTGAAATAGACAGGTCAGATCTGTTCTGCGTTTTATTGCAAATACCCCTTTGCAGAAGTATCGTGAAGCTTTGGTCTCAGCATTTCCATCACAAACATACTTAAAATATCACAGACAAGGTAGAGATCTTCTCATATTTCACTTTGTTTAAACCATTTTGACATGATCATTTGTTGCCATTATAAATAGTGAGAATCGGGCTGCTGGGTAAAACACAAACACAGGAACATATCCCTCTCCTTAGCTAGTTCGTAGCTGGAGTAGGGCATCCATTTTGCAGCACCACTTTTAAGTGGAAAAACATTTCAGGACAGCAACAAGGCTATGATAGGTTTAAAAAGTATGGCCTAATGGGAGAAAATGAAGACAGCTGGCCATTTGCAGTGTAGTGAAAACACTGCTTGAGCCTGTTTTCCTAAAGCATCCATTGACAGTCTTGAAAAGTGGATCCTAAACCTTTCTAGTGCACAGCCTAACTAGGCACGTAATGGGAGGGAAGAGGCTATGTCTTGGTTGTCTCTTGCCTTGCCCATGACTGGCTTCCTTCTCCTTTGTCCTTGGTTTGTCCAAAATCCTGCTGCTGAAGTGATCTCCCCTTCCTGTTGATGTGGCCATATTGCTCCTGTTGAACGCCCTCACTGGGTTTCC